CCTATTTTTTAGCTCCTGGTCCGGGCGCTAGCCAGGCTCCCAGATCAGGGGGTCAAAAGGTGGTCACACATCTTCCAATGTCCCCGGCAAAATGACATTAACACTTTATTTTCCTACAGAAGCCAGACAAGGCCAGCCCTGCATCCGCTATGTTCTCTCAGCAGCATGCTCAACAGTGGGGTTTGGTTGGCAGTTGCTTAATCTTCCTGGACAAAACAAACCATCAGACAATTGTATATACAATACCCGATGGCACTGTCGCAAAGAGTGCCAAAGATCTAACACTTCAGGGACGCGTATCATCTGCTCAACACTTCAGCATGTGCCCACCAGGGCGGGTGGGTCCTCGAGGACAGCCTAGTCTCACTTGGTCCCTACAGGTCCTTAGGTCTAAAATTGGCCTGGCACTGCCTTGCAAACTACACCTGTTTAGAGAAAGATGGTATTAGTTGGAGAGGGTCCTGTAAGTAATCACTGTGGGCAGTAGAAGCATGTAGACTTGGAACCTCGAAGATGCAATCTGCAGAGGCCTGCTTTGTCCCCAGCAGATGCTGGGGTGCTTATTCGTCCAAAGATCCAGCTGCCTTCTTGCTAGAAGTCAAGGTTATTATCGGGGGAACTTATGTTCATCCAGGACACTCACATCACCGTTGGGCCTAAGCAGAGCGTCCCATGAACTCTCCTAACTCCAAGTCTTTCCCCCTTTGGGAGCACTGTCCTTTCTGACCTCTGTCCACACATCAGTAATCACTGCAGTCTCCTGCAAGCTCCCAGGCACCACAGTGCTACCTCTTCTCAATCCTGCCTTGTCATTCGAGATTTATTTGTCTACAAGTTTATGCTATAAAAGGCCAAAATGTGAGTCATAGGTCCATGATGACCAAAACTGGTATGCTTTACCTTCCACAAACTCTGGTGTTTTCATTGCTCTCTTTACAAATATGTTTTACTTGCCAAGAGCACTGGATGTCAGTGAGGCAAAATGGCCAGAATTCCCCAGATTGCAATCGCTTCTGACCCTGGCTGTTGCTGTCCCTACAGATACCTGATGAATGGGTAGTGGGAACTTCTGGATAAACTGGTCCAGATATTCACTGGGAAGCTTCGTCAACACTCAGACCTCCTCAGACATTGTCATCTGATCTCCACTTCAAACTGCATCCTTACTGCTGCTCCTGCCCCCATCCCTAACCTAGCATTACCTGTAGAATTTTAACACTGGCCTGTGCCCAGTGTCTCCAAAAGGTCTGTCTGCTGTTGGATTACGCCAACATCACTCAAATGGCTGTCATACTGGGCCTGTTCTCTGGCACCATTGCCTGCTGACCAGTACTGACCAGCAACACTGACCTGTATCTCTGAGAGAGGTCTGATGTTAGGATTCTCTAGCACTACCTTCCTCTATCCTCTCTGGTACTGTCCATTGTGGCATCTGTCACTGGCCAGCCTGGCCTCCAGAGAGGTGCTGCTTGCTGCTGTGGCACCATCTCAGCAGCAACCCCTGCGGTTACCTCCAGTGGTCAAAGCGAGTTGGATTCTGGTGCACCAATTACAGGTGTGCAACTGGCTTCAGGCCCTCATCAAAGGGATGCCATCTTGTACAAGCAGCCTTTGGTTTGGACTGCTGGACACTGTGAACACTGTGGGCTAGGACAGCTGGCCACTTGTGGCCTTAGAAACTCTTTTTTTTGGGTCTCCCCTGGTGTCACAGTGGTTGAGTGCTGGGCTGTGAGGCTGCCCGCAGACTCTGCAGTGCTGCTTCGATCCCCGGGCACCTGCAAGGGTCCTATATGGTGTGACAGACCTCTCCTGTCTCTCCCGCTGCTCCCCTCAGCAGTGTGTTTCGTCACTCTGCCTGTTCTCTTCCCCACTCTATCTCTGGTGAATTCTCTCACCCTCCTGTGCTTCTGACTGTACCCAGTGCTTGTATAAATAAATGAATATATAAATCTTTAAAAAAAAAGAAACTCTTTTTTCCCAGTCTCCACTTTGTTAATAAACCCCTTTGTTGCTGCACCATGAGCCTGAGTGGGGTCTTGCAATCACGAGTGCAGGGGTGAGGACCCACCGTGACCTGTTCTCAGCCTTTGCACTGTTTTAAGGCTCCACCCTGGAGACACTTTTGTACACACATAAGCAGGCCCATAAGTGTGTTCCCTGATTTCTCCTTATGGCTCCATCCTGCAATTGACCTGTGGATTTTATCTTTCCTATTATGAAATCACAGAGAAAGAAAATAGAGAAAGCACAATTCCCTTCTTTTTCAGCCCCAACACCGCAAATTGTGTCTGATTATTGCCTCTTCCCAGGCTCCAGGCTGATCTGGCTCTCAACAAACTCCAGGAAGATCATCTCATAAAAGTGGGCCTTTTTGACCAATATCTGCGGTGAGTTTGTGCTGTGTTTTGGGGCACCGTGAAGAGGCAATCTTTTCAGACCTGTGAGTTAAAAGGATTGTTGGCTTGTCTCAGGAATCAGATGCTTTTATAAATATAAATTCCCACCCCATACTCTTTATATCAAGTCCCACACCTCAGGACATCCTGGCTGAGGCTTAACTATATCCTCTATGAAGAATCATTTCATGTGTAGTAAGATTACGAAGTGCATTGCCCTCCAAATAAAGCAGCAAGTCACCTAGCAGTGTGAGTAATGCAGGATAAAATAGATTTCAAGAAACCCCTATTAAATATTCAAATAAACATTATAAATGCTGCAGAGCCACTTTATAGTTTTCTTGGATGGCTATTATAAAATCATTAAAGATCTTCAATGCAAATCAGGCTGCATTATGAGATTTCTGGAATATGTCAATGCTGTAAAATTATGTGGCACATGCACGTGTGCCTGTGTGTGTCCAAATGCTGCAAGGCTCACACTAACGATTGTGTCCCTGGCTTATCAGTAGCAATCCTCCATTACAACACCACACAGCCAGCAAAAGGGCCCAGAATTCCCAAGGCAAGTTTATAGGACATTCTTCCCCATATCAGTCTACAAGCTGGTGGGAACAAAGTCATAGCATGTTTGGAGTAATCCAAACCACAGACATAGAAGTGCGTGTGTGATGTCCACCCGCCTTGCTCCTAGAGGTGCCTTGGGCCCCAGCACAGCTTCCCCTAAGCCAGGCCATCCTAGCCTTGCCTGGAATTTTTTTTCTCAAACTTGTGGGAAGACTTTGCCCACAGAACCTCTCTTCAATCTGACCTGCCTGTGGGTCCTCTTCCTTCCTCACTCCTGAGATCTACTCTCACTTTTGTCTACTCAGACTCCCAGAAAGAGTTCTCACTCACTGCCCCTTCAAGAGCAGAGATGTGGTAACTGCAACCTCTTAGAGGGCTTCGGAAGAAGAGCTGAGAGTACCTGACCACCTCCTGGGAGATCAAGGGATAGGACAGCACGGCTCACAGGTGAGTCCACTGCAGTGAACATGTTGGGTTACTCAGAGTGAACATGTTAGGTTACTGGCAAGCCTCAGTCACTGTGGGAGGCAGCCAGCAATGGCTGGCCTTCCAGAGGCTGATGTAGCAGAACACTATGTGGGTACACAGGAAGATATGTGAATGCCAGATCTTGGCGCCATAGGGACGCCAAATGAAGAGCACCAGGGCTGAACTCAAAGCACAGACTGGGGAACCAGACTCATTGTGTGGTTGAAACAGAACTTTTGGCTTCTATTTGTTCTTGGAGGAATCCGGAATGTGGTGGCGGCACCCACTATATTGGGATGGTATTTATGTGGCAAGATTGCAAGCAAGACCCTAAAAGGGACCACCTGAGTGAGCTGAGAAAAATCTATGCTTACAGTGACTAGAGGAAGAAAGAATGGAAGTAAGTCAGGGAGAGGCAGGTGTGGTGTGGGCACAGCAACTGTCCTACACACACTCCCTGCCATGGAGTTCAGAGTGGCTAGATGTAAGACCTACTTAAACAGCTCATGAAGACAGGAGGGCCAAAGATGGGAAACACTGAAACCCTGAAACCCTGCTGACCGAGAGAGAAACTGCCCCTTTAGCACCCTGGCAGCTCCAGGCAGGAGACAGCAGCTTCTCAGGGCTCCTCGGCTGAGGATCCTACGTCAGGCTCTTCTTGGGAACTTCAGAACAAGGCTTTCTTCTCAGGATGAGTCTCTTTGGGACTCAGTGGGTCATGATGAATGAGTAAAGGAAAGAACTAGGAACAGTGCCAGTCCAGCGGGGAGACACCCCTGTGTGGTGTCTAGGCAATGGTTAAACCCATGGCAAGCCCTGTATTCGAGAGGATTTTGTTGAACAGGGCATAGCTTCGGAATGTCCTGTCATACAAACATGGGGTTGGGTGTCCTATGACATTTACTTAAACTTTCTCAGTCTCAATGTCTTTATCTTAAAAACATGGATAATGACATCTACCTCTCAAAGGAATTATGAGAATGAGTTGTCCTTTGACATAGAGCTTTCTGCCTTTTCTTTGGCACTCAGAGTGTATCCAGTGAATGTTTATGGACCAAGAGTGCATCATGACCACAGGTTGAGAACTGTTTTCATTCAGGATTCTGATGTGACGTACTAGGGTTGATCTTGCTTATTCTCCATGGGTATTTCCTGTAATGACACTCACGGGCCTGCCTTGGTTTCTGAATATCAGGTCATGAAGTAGCAGTGAGTTGAAGTCATTTTGAAGACCCCTCAGTAGTGCCTGGATCAAGCAAAATGAACTAATTACTCCAGAGTAAGAAGGTGCTGAAGAGTCTGTCTGAGCCGGGGAGTTGAGTGGGAGAGGACTCAGAACCCAGAGAACAGCCCCGACTGCCTGCGAGGCTCTTCATGCTCCTCCATGCACAGGCGGATGACAGCTAGGCCTCAGCATGTCAATCAATCAGGGTTACTTCTGTTTATCATTTATTATTATTGTAATTATTAAGATAATTTCAGAACTTCACCTCAACTGAAATTTGTCTGCTTCAGTTTAAACAGTGAAGGAGACACAGGATTCCTGCCCCCCACAGTTGCTTTTTGGTGTCAGTCTGTGCTGGGTTCTGTGTAGAAACCGAGGCTGCCATGTGGAGTTGGCACCTTCTCCATAACAGTGAGACAGGTGTTTGGATGGAGGGAATCCAGGTGTTCTGAACCCAACTCAGGGTCATGGGGGACGTCATGAAGCGGTGACACCTGAGCTTAGATCAGAAAGACAAATAAAAGTTGGCAAGATGGAAAATTAGGAAAGGCTAGGTTCTTCAATTATTATTGATTTAGTATCTTATTGTCTAGTCAATAGGTGTAGAGTAGTGAAGATATAAACCTTTATTCTAGGAGGTGATAAAATCATGGGTAACAACTGTTTCCAAAGGAGAGGTGGACATTGCTGAGGGGCTGCCAGTGGGCAGACACAGGGTGTCTGTGGCTCAGGAAAGTCTTCAGTGGAGATTTGAATGCTTACCAGGAGTTTGGTGGTTTATATAGGAGTGATTCAGGCAGAAGGGAGAGCACATGAAGAATCAGAAGTTTGAAGACTTGTTGGCAGTTTCAAGGAAGTGAAAGAAACTCAGTCTATACAGAGCATGGGGAGTAGAGGGGAGGAAAGGGTGAAAGGGGAGGGCCAGGGAGGGGCTGACCATGACAGTTTTTGAATCCAAGTGAAGCTTCATGGACAGGCGGGAGCATTTCAAACATGGCAGTGATGTTTAGATTTCTGGATATAGAAGAAGAATAATTTGGGCTCTGTTAGGGAGAATGAATTGAGGTGAGACTGGCAGTAACTTAACTCTCCAGGACAGGTCTACTGGTTCAAGTGGAGCGAGGAATCCTTTTCAGTATTCACTTTATTAATTAGGATGGTTGTGGTCTGTCTGAGCCTCGGTAGGGACAGTGGATATTGAGATTGCAAATGGATTATGCCGACGTTTGTACAATCAGTTAGGTTAGAGAAAGATTTTAAACCCAAAACTGCATATCACAAATCCTTTCATGCTTTCAAGGATAATCTTTCACCAATGAACATGCTTCTTCCTGTCAGCTTATTGCAGAAAGAGGAGTGGCAAGTGAATCAGCCTTCCTGCACAAAGTGGGTGACAGTGGCATCAACTGTGCATGTGTCACCTGTCCTGCTGCCTCGCTCCCACAGGCATGGTTTCCTGAGGCCCCAGATTTCTCTGTCAGCATGGATGCCACCCGCAGTGTGTGGTCTTAGACCCTGACTGCACTCAGTGGCAGGTGCTGGTGGTCAGTTGCACAGGAGCACATCCTCAGTTGCACATGAGCTGCCAAAGTGACCAACAATCTGCCCCACCCTGTTCAAACTCAGACAAAGTAGGCTCATGATGCTCTGCTTTATTCTTTGCAAACCAGTGTCAGAGCAACAGGGCCTGGCGTTTCATCTTGCTAATGGTGGTCAAATTTAATTAATGTTCAAATATTTTATGCTCAGGACTTGATCAATTTAAAATCATTTCCAATTAATCTGATGTTTTAAACCAGACATTCCTTGCTAGGACAGAGACTGTTGATGCAACCAAATGCTCACCTCCAACCTCCGTAGTGATCAGGTGGGGTCACAGTGCTGCTTGGTTCACAGGGGGTTGTAGCCATGTGCGGTATAAAGCACTACCTGGTCTAGACCTTAAACATATTCCACCCAGTCCTCTAGCTTTCTCCTACTCTTCTGTGATGAGGCCCACCCTAGATTCCCTGTGCCAGCTGACAGAACTACAAGGGGAAAGAAGGCCACTGAAGTCCCTTGAAATTTGCTTGAGTGAGAAATAAATTGTCCCTTTGTTATACCAGTGGATTTGGGGCCTTATTTATACGGCACAGCATATCAAGACTAACATGCCTATGCAACCCTAATTACAGCTGGTATGACTATTTTCTAAAGTGAAATTCACCTCCACTGTTTTGAGAGGACCCATATTCAGGACATACCTGCTCTTTGCCACATCTTAGAAAAAGCATGATTATGATGGAAGTGTTTTAACTCCCATGGGGCCATCCAGGAAGTATGATAAAGATGCCTGAACATTGGACCTGGGCAAGGAGAAAGGCAGATATGATGATGTAGTGTTTTCCTTAAGAGAGAGAGAAATCTGGAGAGAAAGTCCACTCTTTTCTGATTTGCTTAGTTTTGATTTTGAAGCACATGAGAAGAAATGAACAATTCCATGTTGGAATGCTGGTTTAAGGTACCTGTATATATCCTTGTTCAGAATCCAGTACAAGTTTGGATACACAAGCTTAAAACATAGACAAGGAATTGGCACTGGAATGATAGAATTTGGGTTGTCAATGTATAAATTGAAGGCATCAGACTAACTAGCTCACCTCAAAAGAACAAAAAGTAAGAAAGACAAAATCATATGCTAGAACCGAAGGAATACTCACAGCAAGCAAGCAGATACTTTGCAGAGGTTGTGAAGGAGGCAGAAATATGTGTGTGAGAAACAAGGTAATGTGGTGTCGAGGTAACCAAGAAAACAAGGAGGAGGTAAACTAGGCTCTTGCCTTCTGGTGGGAGATCTGGATTGAAAACCAAGTGCTGTCAGACCTGAAGAAGCTGATAGGGCCCAGCAGGGCAGCATGGATGGAGCCGGTGCAGGGGATGCCCCGTCCTGAGGGGTGACTGGGAGGCTGGTGACACTTCCAGGAGCCCGGCTACCATGAGTCATGGGAATGAAAGTAAAATGATTTATGCCTGAGGCAGAATTGTTTTTTTAATAAAAGGGTGAGTCAAGTTCCCATGCCAGTGGGAAGGAAGAGACAAGGAACCTGTCAACAGGTTCCTGTCAACAGGAACCTGTCACTGAAGCAGGCAGGGCAGGGGCAAAGATAGGGAAAGGCTCTGGGCTAGACACACTCACAGTGTGGGCGCCTGGGACGTTCCCCACGAGAGGAGTCCATTCTCATAGTGAAGATGGATATCCACCAGGAGATGGAAGAGATGGAGAGGAAACTTGGGGAAGCCTTTAAGGGAGCTGGGGAGACAGCTCCACGTTGCTGGGCAACGTAGAAGCCTTGTTCTCACAGTGAAGGCTGAAACCATAAATTTGTAGTGCAACAGTCCACATAGTCTTCTGTTTTTCTCAGATTATGTTGAACAAGATGTTTGTGAAAGTGACAACAGCAGACACTGAAATATTCTGGGATTGTGGTTTTATTGAATTAGTGTGAATGATAAAAAGAGGCGCAGAAGTGAGGGCAAAGGAGGCAAACTGAGCTGGAGGTCCCAGTTCTCAGGTGATAGAATCACTTTCTCCACAGTGAGCACTTTTACAACAGCCATCGTCCCCTCTCCCCTTTATAAGAATTAAGAACAGATTTCATTCCTTTAACATTTAAGAGACAAATTTGATGTTGTAAAAAATAATCTTGAGACTCTGCTCTAATGGAAATTAGACTCATATGTTATCTGCTCATCCATTAATCTATCCATCTTTAACCCGTCCCTCAAGATGACTGAGTATCCTCTGCTCTCAACAGTTCCCTGAGAGAACAGAAGTGGATACTGTGGGCCACATCTTCTTCCCTTGAAGTAACTTGAAACACAACACCCGTCCTTTCTCTCAGGCCTCAGAGATAGCATCGGGTTTTCTCCAAAAGCCTGTCAATCTGCAGCTACACCTTGTCTGACACTCTGCAAGAGCACATGTGATGCCTCCTGTCTCTTCAGTACAGTCTGACTTCATAATGTTAAGCAGACTCGAACAATCATCAGCAGGCATTTTTTGTCAAAGCATTGATGTTATATTTTCTGATCAATTCATTTCTTCATAAAAATAGAATGGCAAAACTATTGGGCTTAAAATGAAGTTGTTGCAACTTTCCAGACTGTGAACCTGCATTGTGTTGAGTCCATGGTAGGTACTCAGTAAGTCCTCAGTATTTATAAATAGTTTCATGGTTTGCAAATATGGCTTTTTCAATGGAGTTACAGTGTCTAAAACTACTAAAAGTAGAAACATACAACATCAGGTTCCACTGTTTGTAGTAATACAGCGAACTTGGCAGGGAAAGGATGGTCAGATCAGGAGGAATTTAAGTTTCCTTACTATAGTGGCAGGAAGGGCCAGTGCAGGTTTTCTATGATTGGAGCAGACAGTAAAGGAGAGTCCTGGAGCCCTCGGTGGCTCTCCAGGCTTTTATTGCCATTTTACCAGGTACACAGCAGGCAGGGGTGCTGGGGGGCCATTAGGCGGGCAAGTCATCCAGCCCCCAGCAAGTCTTCAGTCTTTCTGGGTTCTCTGGCCTTCTCTTGTGGCCACTGCTTCTCTGCAATTTCTCCTTCTCGTTCTCTTCTGGTAGTTTAGTTCTGCTCTGCTGCATCCCCATGATGCCACCCTTATAAGCACCATCTCAGCACAGGTGAATCCCACCTCGATATGGCCACACCCCACTCCAGGTGCCCGCCATGAGGCATGCATTCAGGACCACAAGGATCCATCATCAATCCTAATGGTGGGAGGGCAATTATTTACCCTACCCTTACAATCCTGAGCTTTTATGATTCTAGGAAATTCTGATCCTAGAAAATGGAAATCAAAGTGATCAAAATCTGGATTTCATTTTGGAATGTCAGATAGGTAGGTGTAGGTGGCCCTGCTGAATTGCCTCTAAAGGAACTCGAGGGAGTCATAGTCCTCGCTGCAGGCATATAAAATTGTAAGCATTTGTGTAAATACCTAGAAGCAGAGTTGCTGGATACTATGGAAGCTCTGTCTTTAGTAGGTCAAGAAATCTCCACACAGCTCTCCATAGTGGTTAGACCAGTTTGCACACCTACCAGCAGTGCAGGAGAGTTCCCTTTTCTCCACACCCTCGCCAATATTTGTTGTTGCTAGTTTTTTAAATATGTGCCATTCTCACTGGTGTCAGGCGGTATCTCATTGTAGTTTTGATTTGCATTTCCCTGGTTACAAGTGATGTTGAACATTTTTTTTCATATGCCTGTTGGTCATTTGCATTTCCTCTTTGGAGAGGTATTTACCCAAATGACACAGAAACATTAATTCCAAAGAGCACCTGCATGCCTATGTGTAGGGTAAGGTTAAAGGTAACAGGCTTTTCTGCCCTTCCACCATCAGGATAGATGAGGGAGCCCTGTGATCCTGGGTGCATGCCTGATGGTGCGCACCTGAAGTGGGTACACCTGAGCTAAGAGACTGATTTTATAAGGGTGGTGCAGAAGAGTGCGGTGTGGTGGTAGTGCAGTGTTAAGGGTGGAGGAGTGGAGTGTATGGAGGAGTGTGGCGACTACAAACAACGGCGAAGAGCATGTGGCTGCTAGAACCATTCCTAAACCTGCCCGGAATGGGTTGGTTGCTTTACAACTGGCGTAGATGGCAGGACGTTTCGAGGCAGGACAGCTCTACGCAGACAAAACCCTTTGAAACCTGGGGAGGGATCCTGGGATGGCCGGCCACGAGCAGATGGTACTCGGTGGCCAACCTCCTTGACCAGTGGGCACCTCCCCAGGAATGGCCAGAGGTAGATGGATCCCCGGGGCAGTTGGAACAGGCCCTGTATGAAATTGAAGAAACCCTGAGTGGATGCAGTGCCCACGAAGCGGCAGGAGCCATTGGATGGGTGTTTCTCACAGCTCTGCGAGAGTCCAGGCAGAAAGAACAATCTAGGATCCAGCAAGTACTGGATGAGATGCGAGAAGAGATGCGGATACAGCAACAACATTTGAGGATTCTGGAGGAAGAAGTTCGGAGAAACCGACCCACCCCTCCAGAGATGCCAGACTCTGTCTCAGGAAGGAAGGAGAGGGAGGCTGGCCCTTTGCCCGAATTGCAGCCAGTGGTGGCAAACCAACCTGCGACTCCAGAGATGCCAGACCCCTCCTCAGGAGAGGAGGAGAGGGAGGCTGAACATTTACCTGAGTCCCAACCGGCAGTGGCAAACCAACCCACAACCCCGGAGATGCCGGACTCCTCTGGAGAGGAGGAGGAGGCTGGTCCCATGCTCCGGGCCCGCCCGGTGGTGACTCAGAAAACGAAGTGGAAGCGACCCATGGCCCCAGGGGGTCTGGCTGCGGGACAACCTTAGATAATGTAATTTACTACCTATCGACCATACACCCAGGTGGAACTGCTGGATTTGGGCAAACAGTTCCGCCAGAAACCAGGGGAACCCTTGGCAGCCTGGCTGCTACGTTTATGGGACCTGGGGGTGATGGGATTATTTGCACGGCTCAAGACATGGAGAGACTGGCCTCTGTGACTTCACACCCATCCTTGCGACAGAGGCTGCAGAACAGCCAGCGGTATGATCAGGGCGACCACACCCTCCTGGAGTGGATAATGGCTGCCATACAGACAGTTTGGCTGATGCAGGAGATGTGTCAGAAACAGTAAGCGGATGGCAGACATACACCAAGCTGGTGCAGGTACTTCGGGAACTGGGGATGCGGCAGGCCATGTTTACTGTGAATACACATGGTACTGATGATGAGTGTTTCACAGTAGGGATGAGAGACTTGATATTAAAGAATGCCCCCTCATCTACATTTGGATTTCTCATGGCAGTTCTAGCACCCTATGTGGGACGTCAGATACATGATGTCACCACAATGATAGCCAGCTTGGCAGAAGTTGAGAGCCGGCGCTGTCAGAAAGGAATACGGGTAGTTTCTGAAAGGTCAAAAGGAATGCCAAGGAGGGCCAGGAGGCCTCTTGGCATCACAGAACCTATAAAAGTCACCCATAACCAAATGTGGATGGATTTAATAAGAGCAGGGGTAGATGGCACTAAAATAGACGCGCAGCCCAATGCATATTTATTAGAATTATGGCAGCAGCTGCGAGAAGACCAGAGGTTCACACCCATGAGAAGGACTGCTGCTCAGGGGGATCCTGGAAGCCCCAGGTCTCAGGTGTGTGCCCTGCGCCTGGAAGATCATTTGCTGCCAACCCCGTCCTTGGGTGATGGTCTGATATTCTTTGAATAGGGTGAGGGCCAAAGAACCCGTCCACAGGGGATGGGCGGGGACCAGAGGCCACATGTGGAGCTTGCCATCCACTGGTCCCCGA